AAGGCAGGGAGCAGAGGAGAAATCCAGCCTCTATAATACATTTCTTACGAATTAGTTAAGCTGGAACAGCTGCAATTTCCACACACACACCCCCAATACTATTTTCTTTCAAATGAGAAATTAGGTAGAAATATGAACTTACATTGACGGTCCACATTAAATATAACCATTACACCAAGCCAGAGTCGTCTATCAAAAGCGTCTGCCCTCTGACTGCTTAGGTTTTTGTCTGTACATCAAAGATTTAAGCGCAAAATCCCCGAATGCATTCAGGTATGCTAAAAGAAGTTAAGATAATGTCTTACTACAGATTGAAAATATTCAGGAGACAGTCCTTCCAGCTCAAGGATTTTATCTTCAAGCTTCTTAATTCTCTGATAAATGTCTCTTGGTACAGGACCACCTAAATACGCCAGTACAAATACAAAGAAATCAGGAAAAGTGCTTAAGTAATGTTTTAAACTAAAGATTGCAAGTTTTCCTGGTGAATTCTTTGAGTCCAGCTATCAACCAGTAACGGAAATACGAGTGGACGAGATAATGAAAAGGAAGGGTAATTAATATGACTCAGGGTAAAACTTCATTGATAAGCCAGCGCAGTCAGTGAAGGCAATAGATAACTTTATGCAGGTGGTTGAAATATGTCTGACAAGGTCCCTGGAACAACTAATGATCACTCTTACAATATACTGGTCACACACTAAACGTTACTTCAAAACTGATGGCAGCGTCAGGAAGGAGCAAATGGGATGGCTGACCACACATGAATTCAGCATTGGTACCTACGATTGTTCTGAAGGAAACCTATCTCCACTGGGCATCAGAGGTTGAAGCACAGGTATGAGTTGTGCTTGACAGAGAACAGTGTTTGCCTGGCCATAGATGGGAGAAGCAGGGGTGGGGAATGCATGTGCAGAACAGAGTAACAGAGCTTTGGAATAAAAACCAACCACACTAAACGAAACAAAAAAACCCAAACACCCCCACCCCCAAAAAAAACCCAACCCCAAACCACCACAAACAGCAACAAAAAAACACCTCAACCCATTTGCTGTTTGCAGCTATACTACACCAGCCTGGGCTTGTTTCCCCATGTAAGAACAGAAGTGATCAAAAGATCAGTGTTAGAAAGCATCTTATTTACCCTCACATAGTATTATATAAACTGAAATTATGATAAAATGATAGTCTGGTTCTGAACAGTAGTGAATAACCAAAGCCTTAGCAAGCTTTTACTTATTCCCTTGCCATCTGTTTCCATTTATTTCTAGGTCTGTTAGGTAAGACAATTCTATTCCACAAGCTACTGAAATAAGCACTAATGCATTTTTTTGCCATTCATCTATTTCCTCACTTCAGACAGACTATTTTGCGGGTAGCTTCCCTCCTTCAGTTCTCCTCTCTGCTCATCACTCAGCAGCTACTAATTAAATCAGCTAACCTCTCACTCTTCTTAATATTGCCGTCTCTTAATGTAAAGGGAAAAGAGCAGTGCTAGCACTAGAAGAAGCTGTTCAGAAAAACAGCAGGTGAGTCAAGAACAACTCTTTCAGTCAGAAATGAAAACTGGGAAGCAGGTAGCTGAGGCAAGTTACCTGCTCAGGTGATTACTTTTTGCACAGCTGCAGGACTAGGTAACAAATGAACTTGAGACCTTCCCTGGGAATGCTGATTTGGACAGGAGTTGAGCTGGAACTGCACACTTTCATTATCTTCCTCTATGCTGTAGTTTAGCTGACCTGTTCCTTCAAATAAAATTATGTCACCTATTATAGGCTCAATCTGGAAGCAAGGGCCCCTCCTCAGCTACCCCCAATCAATATCCCCAATACGCATAAATTCCAAAGCTATTACTCGTTGTAACCTTAATGCTGGCCAGTCACTTGCAAATTCTATTTCCATGCATAAAAACCACCCTATTTTTGAGACAGCTATACAGCTAAGCGTCAAGCTCTGATGGCTGCCTCAACAGTACCTAGGAGAATTCTGCTCTCCTTGCCACCAGAGGACTTTGATCCAGTATGCATTCACAGGAATCTAGTAATCTAGTCAACATTCATCATATTCTTAGAGAATGGATTGGCATCTATTTGGTATTAAGGGACAAAAAAGTCAGTGTGTGCTGCATTTGTGATGTGTAGAGCATCCACTTTATTAGGTAAAGATCTGGGATCCTGTTCCGTTTTGGAAACATTTTTCAGGAAAAATACAGATTCCTCCTTGATAGGTGCCTCATTGATTTATACTCTAGAAAACTGGGCCTGGGGTGAGGAAAGCAACTACTTAAAAAAAAGTCAGTAGCCTGGTGGCTATGGCATTTATTTTAGTGACAGGGTGGGCTCACGTTTGCATGGTTAAAGGGAAGTACTGACAACGACCTGCGCGCTTTCTGGGAAACAAGCTTTTCACCTAACTGTATTTCAGGAATCATTCACCTTTAGGAAAAGGTTTCAGGTTGTCTTTTGGGTTCGTCCTATCTCTGGCCCACAAGGTGTCCATGAAGCAGCACTGAGTCCTAACCTCAGCTTTTCCTGTTCAGTGGGTCAAGGCAGAAGGACTCCACTGACTATGGAGAATCCCTACATCCAAATATTCCAGACTGTTTTAAATCCCATTCTGAAGTGTCTCCCTCTTGTTTGCCACATCAAGTGCAGATTTACTAACTCAGCACCCTAATTTGGGCATAAATCTGGGTTCCACTTTGGGCATAAGAACCTACACATCAGATTGCAGTACCTGGGGTGACTAAACCCTTCAGTGGACCTATTCACTGTTTTTACAGTCACAGTTTTTATAGATTTGCCCAGTTTTACTATAGTAACAGCAACTGCAGTACAAACTGGCACAACAATGTCATAATTAAAACATGATACAAACCTGTTTGTAACCGTAAGTGTGCTTCAATGTTTTGCAATCTCTCCTCAACAGCTTGGTTTCCACAATCATGAATAGGTACATTGGTTTTGTGACTGGACCCATGTGCTCCTTCAGATCTAGTTTGAGGTCCATATGTATTTACTACCCTAGAAACTAGGTAAAGAGATCACAAATTTAACATATATGCACATGAAACACAAAGTACATCAAAACAATCAAAATACTAAAATATGAAAACTTGTGTTAGATCAATTTCACACCAGTCTCTCACATGAAGGGTCCCACACACATTAGGATCAAAGGTTCAAGTAAAAGTATTTTCCTATTTTCACACAAGTAACTAAACTAAACAAAAACCTAGAACTTTACATATGCAAAGTAAAAGAATTACTCATACATCCATGTAGAATGGCAGTATCAAGAATTTGTCATCAGCTGCTGATAAACAGCAGAAAACCTAGTATCTATGTCAGCAGTTGCACATGTGAGCTGTTGTGAATGCAAAGAGGCCAGACCTAATATTACAGGAAGCAGCATAAATACATGAAGATGAGGGGAGGTATACAACTAGAAGAACCATTATGAGTCTCAGCAAGGAAGTTCCGTTTTAATTTTTGTTATTCGGGTAAAGAGTTAATGGTT